AGTGCCGCCACCCCTACCCGGCCACCAGCCCACGAACCCCCCCCCCGCCCCTACACTCACCCCCCACCCCACCACAAAACCCCCCACCCTGTGCACCCCCCGAAACATCAGTTAGTGTTCCATTCAATGCAAATAGAATCAACAAATAAGATAGAAAAAAAAACAAGTACCGAACTCTCGAAGCCATAAATAAATTAAAAGAAAAAAATGCAAGAAATGAAATTGAAAATGAGAACAACAGTTAAAGATATAAAATCACACACCGACAATAAAATGGGCAGGCAAAGTGCATTACTCGTAACAGAAAATGTAATGTACATGAAAAGTCGTGAACGATGCGAAGTACCTGACAGGCTGACACTAATATCACACATGCAAATGCAACATAATACAATGTATCCTACAGGCTATTGCTAATGCACTGGCACCACATGTCAAAAAAAATATAAGAAACAATAGTCTACAAGTCGTGTCGTAGCTGCCTAAATGATACAAGAAAAAAAAAATAATGTACAGTCTGAACTCAGTAGTGTGCAACCGACGGCACTCTGCGAACACCCTACTCAGCCTACTGGCACCAAAATCATACTCTACGAACACCCTACTGCTACCAAAATCATACACACCAACAAGTAAAGCACGCACGCAACCTTTGAGTGTCCGACAATACTGAGACAAGACGAGACGACTCAGACTACCAAAAAAACTACAACCACACAACATGACGACGTACAGTGCGAGTAGGGGAGAAGCGGAGTGTTGGCCTCATCGGTCAACGACCCTTCTTCCCCTTCCTGCTGTGTCTCCTTGTGCCCCCTCGAGTGCCGGATGTCGACCTCTTCCTCCCTCGTGAGGATGAAGAAGTCCGTGCAGCGGAGCGTCTAGATGCACGCGTCGGTGGGGGTCCTAGGGAAGGTGGGGGCTCATCGTAGTCGTCGTCGTCGTCACCATCGGAACCACTCCTGCTATCCTCCTCTCCCTCCTCCTCGCCCTCGTAGTCCTCGTCCACATCCCGCACAGCCGCATCCGTATTAGGATCATCCTCCTCGATGGTGTCGGGGCCTCCTCCCTTCCTCAACACAACAACCCTCGCACTAGCCTCTGCAATGGTCTGCTCACGGCGGGAACCACGAGGCATCCCCAACCCCTCCGCCCCCGAACTCTCTCCAAGTGTTGCGCCTCCCTCTGCAGGCACGGGGCGTGGACGAGGAGGTACTCCACGCTTGCGTGGAGTCTGCTCCTGCACGGCACGCGTCGCTGCTCTCAGAGCGTACTCCAAGGTATCGGTCGAGATTCCTCTGCTACGACCTCGCTGAGGCTCACAACCCGATGCCGGTACCTCCCTCGCCGTGGTCGTCCTAGCGCCTCCTCCTCCCAAGCCCGGCTGAAGGCGTGCAGTGTGCTCCGTGACACGACGGGTGGAATCCAAATGTATATCTGTCCTCCCGAATATCGTCGTGTCACACACGTCCTGCTGAACTGCTGTCGTGTCACGAATCCTAGATCTCCCAGGCGTGTGTGGGGATCGAGAGCCTCTGCCTGTGGGTGACGATGATGGATCACGTGCAGGTGCTCTGGGAGGAGGGGGTGGCATGTTTCCTGTGTGTGGCGCTGTCTCCGTCACGCCACCCGAAACCCTTGGAACATGTCCCGCGGTATGTCCTCCAGTGGAGGTAGACCCAGACCACATGGGCGACGCAGGACCCCATGGAACCGAAGGGATCGACTGCCACCGTGGGTGCTCGAGCTTCCGGTCGAAGATCCGCCGGTCCAAGCGAGTAACATCGCGCACAGCCTCTCTCGCCAACTCCTCTGCATCCAAAGAACAACGGACCTCCTGCGGAGCAAAGTGGCTAGGAAGACGTGGGGGCACAACCACCGGCTCGGACCCCAAATCTGTGATAACGGGCGGTGGCACACCATGCACTGCCATCTGAACTGCCTGCGGCTGTCGGGCCTGAGCCAAGTGCAGGCCCGAGAATGGAACGACTGAACCCGTCGCTGTCTCCTGCCCCTCGCGTCGTGAGTTTATAGCCCCCTCGACTCGTCGCTGTCCTGCCTGCACTGCCTCATCCACCGCCTGAGTCCGTCCCTCCACAGCAACGCCCGCTGTGTCTGCTCCACCCGGCATAGCCTCGGGTACCGGCTCTGCTGCCACTCCCTCCGCAACGTCCTCCCCCGCCACCACCCCACCCTGCACACAATCCCCCCCTATCTCTAAACGCCTGGTGTCCTCTACGGCCCGTGGGAACGCCTGAGCACGAGGGCCAGTCGATGCCAAAAGTCTAGCCCTCTCTCGCTCCATGATGTCGTGTGCTGCATCTGGAGACTGAGTCGTCGTCCTCTCTCTGGCGGTCTGCGTCGAAGTCCTCCCTGGCGCCTCGTCCCTCGATGGAGCCCGATCCGTCGATGTCGCCCCGCCGCAACTGGGTGGAAGGCCCACCGACAAATCCAGGTCTAAGTGGGTCCCCATCTCCGAATTTGAAATCCCAAACCCCCTCTCCACACCCGGGGTCATACCCGCTATGGCCGGACCGAGGTCCTCCGTGAGGAACTGCTGCATGAGGCGCTCGTCATCGCCCCCACGGTGCACCTCCTCTTGTGCGGCTATCTCCTCCTCCACTACAACTGCCGACGGTGCGTCCTCCTCCTCCAGTGCTGCTGCCACCTCAACCTCCACTGCTGCTCCTCCTCCACGTGCTCCTCCTGCTGCTGCCACCTGCCCCTCCACTGCAGCACCTCCTCCTGCCGCTGGTGGATCCTCCGCCAGCACCGATGCTGCCATCTCCTCTAGCACTGCTGCTGCTGCTGCTGCTGCTGCTATCTCCTCCACCGCGGCCGCGATCGTCGCGTCCGACACAGCCGCTGGTGCCATCGAACTCTCCACTGCTGCTGTCGAAGGTCCCCCCTCCTCCTGACCTATCCCCGGGGAAGGTGATCGTAACCTAAGCTGGCGGACTGCCCCGCCTCTGTGGAGAAGGCCTCGCTGAGGCAAAGAGGACCCCAACTCCTCCCTGTCCGGCTGAAGTGGCGAGACGGGCGATCGAGGTGCAGGACTCGGAGCAGGAGGTGGCGGCATGGACGAATCCCGCCTCGTCGGAGTGGGGGTCGTTGCCTGCGCCTCTGGGCCGCCCGTGGAAGCGACCTCACCGAATGGGCCCCAAAAGTCCTCGTCTCCCCCCAGCATCTCGCTCTCCGCCCGGTTCGCCGCCCGTCGTGCAGTCTGTGTCCTCGTGTCCTTGGAGTCGGGATCCTCGTGCGTCTTGTCGATCTCCCGGGGAATGCAGAGCGCAGGGTCGTCTGCCACCTCGGGTATCGGGACCTCGTCTGAGTCGTCGTCCCTGGGGTAGGGACGAAAAATGCAAGCACGTCTATCGAAAACGGCATCAGCCGAGGGTGGTGCGGACGCCCCGATGGGATCCCGGGTAATAAGTGCAACCTGACGGGCAAACTCCTCGTCCGTCATCCCCCTGCGAGTTCCCGTGCGCACAGGCTCCAACTCGAGTCCTGCCTGGCAATCCAACATGCCCTCGTCCCACTGCCATGGCAGCACATAACCGCATCCAGCCCGCCGATACTCACTCAACCGCACATTTGCGGTGATGGACTGCCCAGTTCCTCTCCGCTGGAGAGGCGCAAGACCACATGTGCATCACCCGAAGAGCGCAACGCTGCAACTGTGGCGCGCCTGACCCGAACTGAGACCACCAAGACGCGCACTCAATCGTCTCGCTGTCGCCGCTGCATGCGCGCCCACGAGCACGCCCCTCCGGACCGCCCCAATCCCCGAACCTGCCCTGCTGAATGTGGAAGTCCTCAAACTGCCGACATGCAAGGATGTACTCCGCACCATCCAACTCGAATCCCGTCTGCGTCAAAATGTACCTCTTGGCTTGCCCCACAAGCCAAGCATCGTACCTCTCCACCTACCCCGAAAAGTAGCGAACGTGTCGCCTGCGGGGGTTCAGTAAGAACCCTGCGCAGTGAGCCGGCTCAAGCATGTGCTGTATGCGAGCCTGCACACGCCTGATGATCCGGTCGGCGAACGACGTCCCCAAAGGGGCGCATGCGACCGTGACACGGCGGACAAGATCCTGCGTCCACTCGATCATGAGGGACATGTACTGTCCTCCACAATCCATCCTCCTGAGCAACTCCATGACGGGCTGCATAATATGGACGATGGTGGCCACCCTCTGCCACCATGGATCCCATCTGATCTGTCGACGCACCCACCGCGCCATAACGCACACATCGGCGGACCACGGGATGGAAGCAAAAGCCCGCGCGTCGTCCCCTCGCATCATGTCCTGCAAAGTGTCCTGCAGGGCCAACAGCCTCTCCAGCATGGAGTAAACAGACGCGAACCGCGTCTCGCAAGAAAGAATAAGCCCCTTCTCGGGGCTGCGCATCCTAAAAAAATGAACCTGGTGGGTTTTGAAAAACACCACCAGCACACGAGCGAGTGTGATCGCGTTCACAAACGCGTCGCAACTCGTCCCCATGTCTGACAACAATTTGTTGCAGACATGGACGGAGCACGGGAGCCAAGTGATCCTCCTCAGTGCAAGAGGCGTGGACGGCGAGGTCAATGCCCTCGCAGCCCCCACATAGGCAGAAGCGGAGTCAGTGCATATCGCATTGATCCGCTGCGGCCCGCCAAAGCTGAACTCGTGGAAGATGGTAACCCATCTACGAAGGACGTGCACTGCATCGTCCGGCTTGCCCTCTCGATTGATCGTCGTGTACACGACGACCCCTCGAGAGCCATCAGCAAGGAAATTCACGATCGGTCTCCCGTCTCGTGATTTCCTCCCATCGGAGAGGAGGGTGGCACCAGTCACCCAGAATGGCTGCCTCACCTCCTCCAACTCCTCCGCCAACTCCGCACGGTGGGTCTCCACCGCCCGCACACTCACAATCTCGCAGTGGTTGGGGAGCACTGCGCGCAGGGAACTGCCAGGCTGCTCAAGAAGCACCTGCTGATATGCCTTCCACGCCTGGTTGCGGAAGGCATTGAAGGAGACCCCGCTGGAATACAACCAGCGAAGGAATGCCTTCTTGTGGCGGGCAACCCACTCGCCACCGTAGACATCAGTCACCTTCTGCTGCCGAAGCCTCTTCCTTGTTGGGGTGGCAGCCGGATCACTCCCTGCTTCCTTCCTCTTGGAAGACCCCTCCGTTGCAGCTCCCTTGCCTGCTCGCCTCCGTCATGCCTCCAACCTCTCCCCAGTGCCTGGATAAACCTCACGCACGTCCTCCCGTTCCGGGACTCCCTCGTCACCCAGGCCACGCGCCTCCTCTGTCTCACCGCCTCCACCACCCAAAGTGGGGTCTGCTGCACCATGCCCACCATCTCCCCCGACCCCTCCCTCCGCCGGATGCCGCCCCGCCTCTCCTCCCCTTGCACCACCCGTGTCGGGCACATCGAGTCCGCGCTCCGCTGCATACCTCGAAACCCTCTCCATCTTATCGGCCTCAAACTTCTGCAGAGTCCGTCGAGCAATCTCGTACAACGCCTCGTCGCTGACGTCCTTGCAGTAGTTTGTCTGCGAGAAGTGCCTCGTGGCCTGAAACTGGGTCCCATGGAAAAGTTTGTTGCAAAACGTGCAACGGAGCATCATGACCCCCTTGTTGTCGACCTTCTGGCCGACAACCAGGTACCGATAGACAGGGGAGCGGGCCCTGAATGTGTCCTGCACATGGTCCGCGGCAGCCTCATGTTGACGGCGCTGTGACCTCCCCATGTCGATCACCCTGGCGAGACAACCCTCGTTGACTCCCCCCGACCGCACCGCTGCAACCCAACACCCGTTAACCGCTACCTGCCGCATGGTCCCCCTTCCCCCC